GAAGATGCTGGTTAAATTACTTGGGAGCTGATTTACAGAACCCTTCTGGATCATTTCTTTGTTCGTTCTTTAATTTCTCTACTGTTCCCTCTTCATAATCACAAGGTAGCACTGAACAGATGGGCACCAAACTCAATGTGCCCTGCGAGTCTTAAAATCCTTTCATATAGTCCACCAGGCTTGCCTTCTGCAACGTTTTTCATTTTCAGGAGTCTTTCTAACATGGAGTGAAATGGAAATAAATGATCTAGTCAAAAGACAGAGAAACAGAGGCACAGAGTTGTCCATCATAATGCAGAGAGCTACAGCCTGTGAGCCAAGATCAGAGCAAGGAAGAAAACTTGAGACACTGACTCCCAGTCTCCTCTGTCTGCAGTGATTTTCAGCGGACGCTGTCCCCTAGGCCAGATCTAAAGGGATGACCTAGACATAAAAGACTTTAGTCTATGCTTCTGAGCAGCCCAACTTTACTGGCTAATCCAATTGTTCTTTGGCTTGGGAAGTGGATTTTTTCCTTTGTTGTTGCTCCTGGTTCCTAAGCACAGAATCTGGAAGTTGTTTGTCTATCTGTCTAGTAGTTGTACTCCTGCCCTGATACCCAAGCTGCTGATCTGGAAACACTTCAAAAGACTTCCATGCTTCAAAGTGGCTGTCTTGACTGCTGTTACAGGCAGTTTTAAATGTTTTCTGATTATGGATCAGCATTTATTATGCCTCTTAAGACAGGGGTGCTTTATTTATATATCCTTTTATTGAAATATATAAATGAGTGTCCTTTGAGATAGCTGCTTTGTCAATCCCAGTGTAAGATTTTTAGTAACATATTACCACAAAGAACAGAAAATCAGAGGAAGGCATCTGGATAGGTTTGCCAGGTTTTTTTTGTTTTTAATGAAATCTTTCCCTCCATTCCTTCTTGAGACAAATGCAGAGTTCTGCACTGGGCATGCTATCAAATTCTCTGGTCTAGCATATGGCTCATAGTCATCTTTCTTGTGCTCTTAAAATTTCCCTACTGTTCTCATCTTTTATTTTTCTCTCCTGCTCTCATGTACAATTTATCTGCTTTCTCTCCATCTTCCTGTCCTAGGCTTACTCATCTCATTCTCTTTTCTGATGCCAGAAAAGATGCTGTTGGTTTACCATATGCTGTTAAGAGGTGCCGATATCACAAACACCAGTTGCCCTGGCTTGCTGTAAGCTTATTGATACATCCTGCTACTCTCGTTGAAAGTTTACTCTTCCTTCTCTTCTGTGACTTGATATGATTCCCACAGGGTATTTTGTATGCTTGAATTTTTTCAGCACCAAAGGCAGATAATATTCTGGGAATACTTGTTGACAGCTGACTTAAGGTGTAAATTACAATGATATAAACTCCTAGCTTAAAAAAAAAAATGTGCAAGGGGATAGTTCACAGCTATGCTGTGTGAGGCACTTCTTTCCTAGGATGTTGTGGATGACTTTGCATAGCTTCAGAAATACATGGAAGGAAAACAAACTAAGCTAAAAAATTCCCATGGGTGCTGGTGTTATGTTACATTTATGACATCTCTGGACTTCAAACTATTGAAGTATGAGTTTCTTCTGGAAGTTCCAGCATTGTCTTTTTGCTCTGGTCTTGTATTCTTCCCCTGAGCACTGTTGGACATGGGATACCAGACTATCTGGGCTTTCAGTTTAAGCTGGTGCAGTTGCTCTTTCCTGGCCTGGTTAACTGACTTTGTGTTTAGAATACCTGTTTATCATTCACTTCCTTTTTATATATGATTAAAATCTAGGGGTATAGGACTGTAGTGATTTAAGGGTCAATTTTTTTCAGACCCCTTCCTCGTCGTCAGCTGAGCCTCTTGATCCCATTATAAGCAATTCAGGCTCCCTTTTCAAAGTCATTACATTGTTCATCCCGTTGCTGCCAAGAGGATGTTTCAGAGCTTCATTTTCCAGTGCTTAAAACCTATCTTTTAATTTCCAGTTGAAATTTATTCATGGCCATTTTATATCCATTTGTCCTCATGCCAACTTTGTTCTTTAGCTTAAGTAGTTCTCTGCCTTCCTCAGTGTTTACTTCCCCCTGTCCCAGTGTGTCTATGGAGAGCAATCAACTCCCCTTATAACCGTTATTTTGCAAAGGTGACCAAACCATGATCTTTAAGACTCCTCGTGAGACTTCTGTTTCCATAATCACTTCCTTAGCCCTTTTCTGTACCATTCTTTTTGAGTACTGCACACAGCTTCTCAGGTGAAGTCTTGGTGAAAACATTCATGCTGTCCCTTCACCATTGGCAGTGGCTTTTCTGAACCCTGATCTGTCCTTTACGCAGTTGTGTCACCCTGCTGGGTCACACTTGTCCTAATCCTCTAATAGGCTCATATATCTAGGGTGTCCTTCTACTAGCTTCCAAATTATGAGCCCCTGCTCATAACAGAAATTCTTATTTAAACCCTAAATGCATACCCTTGCACACTGACTATTACATTTCATCCCATTTCTATTGCTTCAGAACTCAAGAACATCCTGCTATTCCTGAAAGATAATCTGAACTCCCCGCTGTTGGCAATGGCTCCAACACTTCACACTGTCAGCAGATTTTGTTAGTGTACTCTGACTTTTTGTGCCAAGGTCATTAAGGAAAGTATAAAATAAGATCAGTCTCAAAACGTATCCTTTAACTTCTACACATAACCTCCCCCCAGCCTAATAATTTCTCTTTCAGCACAACTCCTGTCACTGCCTCTTTAACCAGTTCCTTACCCACCTTGCAATTCTTGTGCTAATCCCCATCTTCATTATCTTAGCTAATAACTTCCAATATGGTGCTTTTCTGAAGTACAGATAAATTAGATCTACTGTGTTTCTCTTGTCTAGAAAAATCAGTTATTTTACCAAAGACATCAAGTTAGCCTGGCTTGATCTACTTCTGGTTTAAATTCATTTTATTCCTTAAACCTGTTTTATCCACTTGGCACCTTACACTCAAGTATTTTTCTTTCTCTCAAAACTTGTTCTAAAGCGATGCATAGCATTGAGGTTGGTCCACTGGGTCTGCACCTACTTATGAGTAATTGTAGAGTGCCTGCTGTAGGACATACAAAACACTGCATATCACCTATGACAAAATCTTTGTGATGAATCTCAGTTGTTAAGAGATGAAATGTACTAGTTTGTTTCCACTTTATTTTATTGTGGTACTATGTACAGACACGGACTGAGATGGAGATGGCTCTAGGCTGTTAGTCTGGCATGTGGGAAAACCAGCCAGCTACAGTTGCAGGACTGTAATATTGCTTCAGAAGTAGATGGTGACTGAAAATTCTTAAAATAAACCAGAAGCTGCCTTCAACTCCCTAAATTTCTTCTGTTTGCATCCAGAAACACTCCGGTCCTTCTTTCACTCCTTTACTGTTCCGGTGTGATCACATCAGGCCTGTAGAGACTACTAGAGACTACTGTAAACTCAAGCAAGTAATGTTTGCTTTAACAGAGAAAACATGCTGTAAGGTGACCTCACTGAGGTGCTCTGGATGGACCTTTTAATGTGCTTAGAGATATTTACTTTGTCCCAAACATGAAGGCTTAGGGACAGGGTGAGTGATCGGTGGAGGTAGCATATCCCTGTCCTGAGCATGCAGAATGGCTGGTGGCTGACGGTATTCCTCACACCAGCTCAGTGATTGTTGTTTAGGTGGAGTTAAAGCAATGAGAGCATGACTGTGCTTCTGCTGGTGAGATTTTTAGCTGCTGATTTCTTGTTCTGTCTGTATTGCGAGTAGTTTTTATGCTTTTTTTTTTTTTTTTTTTTTTTTTGGCAATACTGGTGTTGAATTCTAATAGTTTCATTATGGAAGAATGGCAGTGTGCAAGGACATCAACCCAATATCAGCAAGAACCAGATCTCAAGTCTTTCTTAGTCTCAGCCACTGTCAGGACACAATGAACAGCAGCTTGATGACAAAAAATATTTCTTGCTACAGGATGATAATTGGCTCAGTATGGGGAAGTTAATGTGATTTTATTTGGGGATTGGTTTCTAAAGAGATTACATTTTAAGGAATCCATGGGTATGAAGGGTATTGTAGCTGTATTTATTCAATAAGCTGTGGGCACTTGAAATTTCACAGCAGTAAGCCAGGTTAGAACAAGGATCATCTTGTTGCAGCAGCATGACTAGAAAAGAAAATCTTGCCTGGCTGGTAGGATGGGCATATACTACGTGGGGGCGGGGAGGGACAAGGATGTCTCGGTATAGATTTTTTCAAGCTGCAAATGCTATTGGCCAGATCCCATTCAAACTGGTGCTATGCTGAGTCAGGCAGGATGAGCTACTTACCTGTGCATTGAAAATGCAGAGGGTCCACAAAAATATCTGCATCTACTTCTCTACTTACTATGGGGCAAGTAGTAGCCTTGCCACGCAGCTTCACCACCTTTCTTACAAGCCCTGATCTGTGTGAGGACCTTGACATGCTACTGTAATGCAAAGCATTGTCATAATTAAAATAAAACTTACTTTCAGTTAAAGTTGATGGAAGGGAGGATGGGGTGGAAGCTTGTTTTGGGAAAACGGAGAATGGAGTGGAATTTGGCTGGAAATGCTGACATGGATGTCCCAGACTGATGCAGAAGTTATCATCTGCTGATGTAGATAGAAACACTGGTGTCTGGAATGGGCATGTGCTGAGTCTCTGATACAAAGAAATAGCTCTGGGGCAGCAGTTTAAGGACTTGCTTCATTACTTTGGATATGTGGGTGTTGCTTTAAATTTAATGGTCACTACAAATCAGTGTAACATTAAAGCTAGAGGGCTAATGGTCTTCTAGAATAACTGAGTCAGCTGCAGAGACTATGTTCTCTGCTTGTGTAAAACACTGCACCTCTGAAGTCAATGATAAGCTGTCAGTATAGACCAGCTGAGAAGCCTGGCCCCAAAGACTGAAGATGAAGGTTAAAAAAATTATGAAAGAAATTGACATTTCTTCATCTTTCTTCTTTCCCCAGGGCAGCCATTGAGGCTCTGGCAGCTTTGCTGAAATCAAGTAAGCTTTTCTTCATATTATGACTTTTCTGTGCTGTGCTGCTGGACAGAATGATCCTGTTGAATGTCTTTCTCCCTTAGTATGCTCTTCAACCTAAATCCCAAAGTGCACTGCTTAGAAAAGAGGGGTAGCTGACTGTCTTGCAGTGCTTTTCAGCACCTCACAGCTCTGTGATCGTGATGCTGTAGGTCCTAGGAAGTAAGTTGCTGAGGGAACAAGACTAGGCAGTGTTGTCCTGGGGCTTGGTGTAGTGAAAGAAATGGGGAAATGTGTCTAGCCAGCAAAAAATGCTCATTTATCTGTTCCAGCATTATTTCAAAGTGGGGCCAGGACCTCCCTGTCCCATGGTTCTGTTGGACTGGGCACTCACCTGGAAAACATGGTGGTGTTGGGAAACACTCAGAAAACTTCTGCAGTCCAGAAAACATGACCTCATTTTCCCTTGCAAGCACATGAGGTTTGATGGCACACAGATCTTAAAAAAACAGGGCTGACACCTATTGATTTCTGGGGTACAGCTGTGCTATGGCAGGTTGTGCTTGACATTTGCACCAGCTGGCTGGGGGAGTTGGAGACCATAACATGGATTCTCAGTCACACACTGCTGGTGTGCCTGTTCCAGCAACGAGCGTGCTACCCTTTTTTGCCTTTTTTTCCCCATCCAAAAACACTTAGCTTTTATTACCAGAATTTAATAAAGCTTTGATTAAGAAAGAGCACTCTACTATTGCAGACAATCTACTCTACAATAAATCACAAGGGCGTATTGTCCTTCTCTCTCTCTCTCTCTTCCCCCCCGCTCCTTTTCTCCCCTCCCCCTTCTCCTTTTTATAGTATTAGGAATAATGCATTTGTGAAAAATTGTAGTCCTGGAAGCAGTGCTTAAATGAGAACACTGCAATGGGATCGTGTCTGAGTTGTACCAGCTCAAGTGATGAATTTTGAAATAATGCCCCAATATTAACCTTGCTGCCTATATTTAAAGGTCACGTTATTGCAACCAAGGAAGACCTTCTGTTTTGGGCACTAAATCTTAATAAGGGGGCTGTGGGGCTATGCCACAGCCACTTGCAATACAAAAGCAAAATTAGCATTTAGAATAGAAAAGAATTCACAGAGAAGCCTGGAAAAGCAGTGCGAGAGCTGAAAGCTCATCAGGCAGTTTGAGCTTTTCTCCATGCTCCTGGTACCTGCCATCAAACAGGAGTTCAGAAGTGAAATTCTGCTGTCCCAGGATATTTATAGAACTGGTTTTCTGTGTCAAGACTTGTTCTGGGTCTAGAGATGAGGATGGTACAGGGAAGTGGTGAACTAATCACCAAGGGAAGCTGCAAAATCTCTTGAGGAGTTCTAAACCCATGTAAAAGTCAGCGCATGTGGGGGGACCTTTTGTCACCTGAGGATTATCTAGGGAATCTGAAAGGGGTTGGATTTTGCTCCAGATTCTCCCAACATTTTTTCTTCTGGAGTGAAGTAACTTCTAAAGCAACTTTCTTCATTTGTTCTTAGAATAAATATATCTTTCTGAATGGCTCTTCCAAGCCAGTTTAGGCTGTAAAAATATCTTGGTTCTTCCTCTTACTCTTTCTGCGCTTTGGGAAGTGCATGGAACGTTTCCAGTACTGGAAGAACAACATACTGTTCATTGTAGTAGTTTGTTTTGCGTGCTTTCACAGAGGGCACAAAATAAGAACTCTAATGAGAATTTGGTCTATTGAGCAAAGCCATATGTTGTCACGTTGGAGGATCACTGTGATATATACATTAGGGTTCTCATGTTCATAGATAATGCTGACCACTGAAACAAAAAAAAGGCATTGCTTGAGAGAGATTTCATTTGGAGACACCCTTCCAGGTTTGGCATTGTCCTCTCTCCTTTATCATTTGCACTGAACAACACTGTTGTGGTAACCCCAGCTACTGCTTCCACTAGGAAGTGATTTCAGGAAAACACATGGCCTATTTTCAGCTGATGTTTAGTTAAAGCACTGGAACTGGGATTTGGGAAGTGGTGCCAATACCGTGTAACCAAATAGAGCACTGCAGCTCACAAACCTGCTACTTCTGATTTCTGATGGTTTCTACAAGCTGATGATCAGTGGTTAGAATATCGTTTAGTTTTCCTTGTCCTGTAGCTCAGGACATTAGAAGCTCCAGGCTTCTGGAGGAAACTGTGCTCTGGTAGCTGCATACAAATTAGCAGGCTGTGTCTTTTGGGATGTATGGGTTAGGAGATGTGAAAAACATCTCTGGTTCTTCCAGAGATAAATTCACCATGGCAGGAAAAGAACCAAATTGTTTTTCACAGTTGTCTCAGGACAGCTTTGCTCGTCACAGTTAACTTACCTATGCGTATGACCTTAGTGTCTTAGAATGATGTGGAGGTTCTTAGAAAGCTAAAATATTAAATATTTTGATTAAATACTGTGAACATTACAGCACTCGAAAATGTCTTGCAAAAGCACAGGGTAAAACTGAATGGCAAAGCATTCAGAAGGCCTTTAGCATGTTTTAGATGAGATGCAAACTGAATGGGAGGTGGGAATCCCATAATGTGCTATGGTACTGAATTACTGGACTGATTATTGTGATTGATGTTTGTTGAAGTCTTGCAATCAGCCACTTGTTGGGAAAGGCTCTGTTTTGCTGGGGATGAGGGCTATAAAGCAGACAGAACAAGTACATGCAGATTCTTGAGGGTCTCCCTGCAGGGTTTTTGTGTCCTTAAAAACTTCAGCTCAACATGAACAACGAGGGTTATAGCTATACATGGAGGGTGCTGGAGGGAAACTGTCCCTCTCACTTCTGGCAGTGAGCTGTGATGGGAAAACAGTTTTAAAGGGAGCAGGCAGATGGCAGTATGTCTCCCTCATGGATTCAGAAACATCCATCTTCATCTCCTCAGGCTTCTCTAAGTTCTACTTAAGACTTAGTCCACCTGCAGAGCCAAGGGCTAGATGGAAACTTTCTGGCCTGTGTCTCTTACCTAACAGAAACTGATGCAAAATGTCCACTTAACAGGTGCATATCACTGCAAGGAGTAAGATTTGCCCTGACAGCCTCACTGGAGAGGGGAGGGAGGTGGGAAAGCACTCTGCACACTCATGGTTCATCCACAACAGGGAGGAAATGTTTGTGTACCCAGCACAAGAGCAGAGGGACCTTGGTTCTCCTGTTTCCCTGTACCTGAGCAGAAGTCGTTGATGGCCATGGAGGTGGTGAATAATGTTTAGGCTGCTCCTAAGAAAGTGCTGTATCTTTCTATCGGTGGAAGATACAGAGAAGATGTTTCACACCTAACTATCAGCCAGTTTCTCACTCCTGACTATCTCTTTCTATGCAATCCAGAGTCATTTCCCCATCCTTGTATGCTGCTCTCGCACTTGCTTGCCATCTGTGATACAGATAGCTATAGAGAAGTTTAGGCAGGGTGAGGCACAGCATCCATCCCATCTCTTCTCTGTCCCAGGGTTCACCTGTTACTTTTTCTAGCCTTGTTTTTCCTACTTCTCTCTACGTCAGTCTTCATATCTTGCTTCAGTTCTGTCTTAAGCTAGAAGAGACCTGAGTAGCTCTCTTTTTCCCTGTAAGAATCCCGGGTGTGGATGGGACATACCCCAGCTAGAGCCTTTTTGAGAAGGGATAGAGGGTGAGGAAGCTATTTCTTTTGGTTACATCCTCTCATCCCCATTAAAGCAGGCATACTGCATTTTTGGGGAGCTGGAAGAACACTGGGCACCTGATACAGAAATGTGGACAAACATGTCCCAAGGCTTGCAGCCTGAAGGCAGTGCAATCACCGCTCAGCACCTGAAGCCACACGGTGGCGATGTTATTATAGGGAACCCTGCTCCCACCGGTGCTTAATCCAATATTTATTTTGGGTGAGTAATTTGTTTATCAGCAGGTTATTTTAATCTAATTTTGGTTGTATTTGTTATTCCTGACTATCTGTACTTCCCAGAATTAGTGGCTTGCATGTCTTTAAGGAAATTAGCTCGAGCAGATCTCAGAGGCATTTGCTGTGCCGATATTGAAGCAAAGGGTTAGGGCAATGGGCAGGGCCCTTGTTGCAATGCTTGCTTAGTAAAAATGTAGTGAGCAATTTAATGAGACAAGTTGTGGTCACCCCCGATCATGCCTCTTCTATCAAGACAATTCTGTGCGCTAACGGTAGTTATTGCTGATGGTCTTCCCCCTCTTGCTGTATATTTTTCCTTCCTCCTTTTGTCATCTTTATCTTCTCTTCCCCTTTCCCCCCCCAGCCTTTCATCTCTCACTTCCTACTGTTTCCACCTCGTTCTTCTGTCAACTAACCTTTTTTAACCTTTCACTCACTTTTTTTCTTTTTAATCAAAGCATAGGGATTATGTCTTATGGCTGGCAGGATAAAATAATCAGTGTCATTTTTTTCCTTTTATGCTAGCATCAAGTAGGGGCAAGTAACTGCGAGGAACAGAAAGCAATGTTCTAGCACACAAGCATATTACAGTTTCTGAAAGGCCTGCACCCTATTTCTGAATTCATAACGCTTTTCAACAGACTGACACAGGTCTTTGATCGTGAGTCAAGGTAGCCCAATGCTTAAACCATGTCGGTTCCTGTAGCTAACCGCACCCCAACAGTGACTTGCCCAGTATTTTGCTAGGTACCAATTTCTCACAATCAGTTTAAGACTTCATTTTCCACCTGTGGATTCAGGCTCCATTATTAGTCTGGCCCCAAACCTATCATCACAATTTGTAGGATACCATGATCAGAGTTAAATTTGCAAATAGTTCATTTCATAACGTTCTAGAACAAGTTCTGTGCCTATGTTTTCTTCCTGAATTTCAGAATGCAGATAGGCCTGATTCTGTTTTTAAGCTGCTTTGAGAAGAGCCACTTGATGGGGAAAGAGGGAAATTGAACCTCCTTTAAATTCCTTTCTTCAGGATTTGCTGCTCATTCATAGAGATGTCCCAGGCAAAAATCTACTCAGTGCCCAAGAGAAAAAAGCT